TGTGTGTGTGTGTATATATATATATATATATTTAAACTTTTTAAAAATTTGTTTTCTTAAAACCACAAGTACCTACGGGACTTTGTACTTGGACTGAGAGGCTGCACAGTGGATGGAAAAAGCACAGGTTCCTGATGAGACAGAGTATAAATTCCAACACTCTCATTTACTTAGCTGTATGATCTCAGGCAAGCTACAAAACTTCACCCGTAAAATGAAGACAATATTTGTTCTATAGAATTTGTATGCACATTAGAAAAATTAACAAGATGGCTTAATTCTGGTATTTTGCCTTCCAGATGGCCCCCAAATATTTCTGCCTCCTAATATTCATATACTGTGTCATTCCCTTGCACACTGAACTAGTATAAACAACAGGATATTGTGGAAATGACAGCACTTGCTCTGGGGAAAGCCACTTCTGCAGCATGATAACACACTGTCCTCTGGAGAATCCATGTGGTGAGGAAGTGAGGCCTCCTGCCAAAAGCAGCATGGCTTTGGCATCTATGTGAATAAGCCGTCTTGGTAGCATAACTTCTAGCCCCATGAAACCTTCAGATGACTGAAGTTCTGGCTGACATCTTTACTGCAATCTCATGAGAGGCCTTGAGCCAGAACCATCCACAAAGGCCACTCTGATTTCTCACCCATAGACACAGTATGAAATAACATTTACTTTTTGAAATTTTGAAGTAAATTGTCATGAGACAGCAGATAACTAATACAATCACAATGAGGAGCATGGATTCTGGAAGCCAACCAGAAGTACCACTTCCTAGCTTTGGGACTGACCTTGGGCAATTTGCTTAACCTCTTTCTAGGCCTTGGTTTCTCATTTGTAAAACTGTTTAATACTCAATGTGTCAAAGAAATGCTATTCTTCTTCTTTTTCCTAACATGAATAGTATACTCCTTGGCATGAAGAGTATATGATGCTATAACAGGAAAACTATCAGTAAACTATGACTTAGACTAGTATCTCCAAACTTTACCAATAAAGTACAATATTCTCAAGAGCAGAGGAGAATGAATATAGGTACATTTGTTTGGGGATTTAATAAATACTAATGCCTAGCATACGTAAGGCACAGTTCTATATGACTGGTATGTAATACTGAATAATACAAAATCCCTACATAGCTTGAGCACAAATTTCACAGTATTCTAATTTTCCATTTTACCACACATTACAGTCATGTTGGTGCTACTAGAACTAGGAATTATTATTATTATTATTATTTATTTTTTTTTTTTTGTACTGGGGATTGAACTTCAGACCTTGTGCTTGTGAAGCAGGCACTGGAACCACTGAGATAAATCCCCGGCCCAGGAATTATTCTTTTAATCAAGTTTAAAAAATGAACATTTAGGAAAGTATACAACATTTATCTTGTGTTTTCTTTGCTTTCCAGGTTACTCACGCCTAGCTTAATTTCAGAAGCACCGACATGTACTTTTATTTTTTTACTATTTTTATTTTTTGTATATCCTTTTATTGGTACATTTTAGGTGTACAACATAATGACATTCAACCTTGGAAATATGCACCTTTACATACTCTCTTGGTTCTTATTTTTCCCCCTTCCCCTTCCCTTCAACCCCTCCATCCCTTCATATTTACAAAGAATTTGTTTCTATTTTTTCGTTTTCTCATATTGATTCCATTCCCCTCTTTCCTTTCCCCTACCCCTCCCACTTCCCCTTCCCCTTTGCCCCTCTTCTTCCTATTTCACATTATCTATTATACCTTTTAGTCCTTATTTAC